ACACCAAATAATGCATGCAGAGCAGAATTAGGCCAATACCCGCTAATTATCTAAATCCAGAAAAGAGCCGTTAAATTCTATAACCACTTAAAAGGAAGCGATTCCCAAACCTTCCATAACAAAGCCATCACCTACAGAGAGATGAACTTGGAGAAGAGTCCCCTAAGTAAGCTTGTCCTGGGGCTCTGTTCACAAACACAAACAGACCCCACACAGCCCCAGGACAACAACAACATCAACAACAACACAATTAGACCCAACCAAATCATGAGAAAACAAAAAGAGAATTACTTGACACATTGGAAAGAACAAACAAATAAACAGAGCAAACTAGAATGCTATTTGGCCCTAAACAGAGAGTACACAGTGGCAGAATACCTGACCACTGTGACTGACCCAAACTTAAGGAAAGCTTTGACTATGTACAGACTCAGTGAGCATAGCCTTGCTATTGAGAAAGGCCGCCGTAGGCAGACCTGGCTCTCAAGAGAAGACAGGCTATGTGCACACTGCCCACAAAATGAGGTGGAAACTGAGCTGCACTTCCTAACCTCCTGCCAAATGTATGACCATATTAGAGACACATATTTCCCTCAGATTACAGCGATCCACAAAGAATTCGAAAACAAACCCAATTTTGATAAACTCCCTTATCTACTGGGTGAAAAACCACAGTGTGCCATCACAGCTGCAAGATTTGTGACCTGTTGCCACAAGAAAAGGGCAACCAGTGAAGAACAAACACCATTGTAAATACAACCCATATTTATGTTTATTTATTTTCCCATTTGTACTTTAACTATTTGCACATTGTTACAACACTGTAAATATACATAATATGACATTTGAAATGTCTTTATTCTTTTGAAACTTCTGAGTGTAATGTTTACTGTTAATATTTATTGTTTATTTCACTTTTGTTTACTATCTACTTCACTTGCTTTGGCAATGTTAACACACGTTTCCCATGCCAATAAAGCCCTTAAATTGAATTGAATTGACAGAGAGAGAGAGAGAGACAGAGAGAGAGAGAGAGACAGAGAGAGAGTGAGAGACAGAGAGCGAGACAGAGAGACAGACAGAGAGAAACAGAGAGAGACAGAGCGAGAGAGACAGAGAGAGAGAGACAGAGAGAGAGAGAGAGAGGATTACTGTGTCTGAATATTGACCTCCCTTCAGGACAAAAAGCAGCCTGACCCTGTATGTCTAGAGACATCAAGAGCCGGACTACAAAGAAGCACTAAAAGCTGCACTAGGACTGCTTTGTATCTCCACTTAACACTGGAGTCTAAGCAACGACTGATCAAATGCAACCAGGATGGCAGCAAGCATAGCCTTCAGCTAATTACATCCTGGCTGCAATTTACCTGACTGAGTGAGAATCTAACTAAGCTGCAATTATAAAGCAGTGAATAAGGGACCAGTGATCATGTGAAAGGGGAGAAGGGGGAGGGTAGAGGTCAGTGAGCTGATATATAACCCCTCCTCCTTAGCCTTAAGACCACCACCCACAACCTCCCCAGCTGGATCTCCTCATATCAAATCACATTTTATTTTTCACATGCTTCATAAACAACAAGTGTAGACTAACAGTGAATTGCTTACGGCCCTTCCCAACAATGCAGAGAAAAACAGATAAATAATAGAAAAATTATAACGAGGAATAACTACACAATGAGTAAGGATAACTTGGCTATATACATGGGGTACCAGTACAGAGTCGATGTGCAGGGGAACGAGGTCATAGGAAATGATGCCGGAAATATTACGTACAAAAAAAGCTTACATCAATGTAAAAAACCCACAAAATAGCAGAATTGGTCAGGAGCCCGTAAGACGGCAGCTATCCACTGCAGCGCCATCTCATCCTGGTAGCTAGAGAAGGACATGCCGTATGATGGGGACACTGAGCACCAGGGGACAATATAGGCACCAATAGGCACAATATAAACCCTCCATGGTCAAAGGTAGTGCACTGTATAGGAGATAGGGTGCCATTTGGGACGCATCTCCTGCAGCCCCATGCAGCCCACCATGCAGGGCACTATGGAAACACCACTGTGTATCTGAGACAGCCACGAAGGAGAAGGGTGGGGGATGATTCAACAGGCTCTGCCTGCCTGCTACTGTGCTTGGGCCTGGATGCATCCATCTCCACAGAGGCTCAGAGTGAGAGAAGCGGCATATGCCGGACTCCTCCATGTTGTTGGCTTGGAGAGGCCAGATAATTGCTCAGTGCAAGTCCTTCCTGGACAGGGTGTCAACCAAGCTTTAGACTTTGTCCCAAACGGCACCCTATTCCCTTTATAGTGCACTACTTTTGACCTTTTGATAAGTAGTGCACTATATAGGGAATAGGGTATAATTTGGGGCGCAAACATAGTTTTCGAGCGAGCGGGACTCCAGTCCAAACCTGGCCTACTCACAGATGAAGCGTGACCACCTGCTTTAGTTTGAGGCTCCTCCAGCCTGCTCTCCCTCTCTCTCCTCTCAGTGAGAAATCAGAGAGATCGTGTGCGGGGGAGAACGTGTCCAAGAGTAGCAGTCATTATGTTTGGATATAGATTAGAAGAAATGGGGAAATGAAAATACAAGGGGAGTACAGTTCTCATGCTCCATACCTAAAGAATAATAGAGAAGTCAAGCATGTAGAGAGGAGAGGAGGGAGACAAGGGAGAGGAGAGGATAGGAGAGGAGAGGAGAGGAGAGGAGAGGAGGAGAGGAGAGGAGAGGAGAGGAGAGGAGAGGAGAGGAGAGGAGAGGAGAGGAGAGGAGAGGAGAGGAGAGGAGAGGAGAGGGAAGCTGCTGGTTGTGTGTTCTCCAAGCAATTCGCATCAGAACAACCCAGTACTGTAGCCAAGTGCAGCCAAATTTAGAAAGACAATGTTTAGAGAGCTTTGGGGGGGGGGGGGGGGGGGGGGGGGGGGGGAATCCTCTGTCTGTTTAGCGAGTCAGTCATTAATTCATGTGTATTAAATTAAAGTAAATATCATTAGTCATCTCTTGATGAGTGAATGGAAACACCATGCAGTTCTTACATCAGAGCATGAAGCACACGTCCCCTTTTCTGGGGAGGGAACATACTAGCGTCTGTTACTGTATCTGTGTGTTATTCATTGTGTCCAACCCTGACAAATTACCTTGGACAACAAACAAGAGAAACAAAAAATAGCAAATTGCTGCACACTGTGCTCCCATTGACAAACAGGCACACAGTGAGGGAAAAAAGTATTTGATCCCCTGCTGATTTTGTACGTTTGCCCACTGACAAAGACATGATCAGTCTATCATTTTAATGGTAGGTTTATTTGAACAGTGAGAGACAGAATAACAAAAAAATAATCCAGAAAAACGCATGTCAAAAATGTTAGAAATTGATTTGCATTTTAATGAGGGAATTAAGTATTTGATCCCTCTGCAAAACATGACTTAGTAATTGGTGGCAAAACCCTTGTTGGCAATCATAGAGGTCAGACGTTTCTTGTAGTTGGCCACCAAGTTTGCACACATCTCAGGAGGGATGTCATTAAGGTTTCGAGGCTGACGTTTGGCAACTCGAACCTACAGCTCCCTCCACAGATTTTCTATGGGATTAAGGTCTGGAGACTGGCTAGGCCACTCCAAGACCTTAATGTGCTTCTTCTTGAGCCACTCCTTTGTTGCCTTGGCCGTGTGTTTTGGGTCATTGTCATGCTTGAATACCCATCCACGACCCATTTTCAATGCCCTGGCTGAGGGAAGGAGGTTCTCACCCAAGATTTGACGGTACATGGCCCCGTCCATCGTCCCTTTGATGCGGTAAAGTTGTCCTGTCCCCTTAGCAGAAAAACACCCCCAAAGCATAATGTTTCTACCTCCATGTTTGACGGTGGGGATGGTGTTCTTGGGGTCATAGGCAGCATTTCTCCTCCTCCAAACACGGCGAGTTGAGTTGATGCCAAAGAGCTCGATTTTGGTCTCATCTGACAACAACACTTTCACCCAGTTCTCCTCTGAATCATTCAGATGTTCATTGGTAAACTTCAGACGGGCCTGTATATGTGCTTTCTTGAGCAGGGGGACCTTGCGGGCGCTGCAGGATTTCAGTCCTTCACGGCGTAGTGTGTTACCAATTGTTTTCTTGGTGACTATGGTCCCAGCTGCCTTGAGATCATTGACAAGATCCTCCCGTGTAGTTCTGGGCTGATTCCTCACGTTCTCATGATCATTGGAACTCCACGAGGTGAGATCTTGCATGGAGCCCCAGGCCGAGGGAGATTGACAGTGCTTTTGTGTTCCTTCCATTTGCGAATAATCGCACCGACTGTTGTCACCTTCTCACCAAGCTGCTTGGCGATGGTCTTGTAGCCCATTCCAGCCTTGTGTAGGTCTACAATCTTGTCCCTGACATCCTTGGAGAGCTCTTTGGTCTTGGCCATGGTGGAGAGTTTGGAATCTGATTGATTGATTGCTTCTGTGGACAGGTGTTTATTATACAGGTAACAAACTGAGATTAGGAGCACTCCCTTTAAGAGTGTGCTCCTAATCTCAGCTCATTACCTGTATAAAAGACACCTGGGAGCCAGAAATCTTTCTGATTGAGAGGGGATCAAATACTTCAATCTATAACATTTTTGACATGCGTTTTTCTGGATTTCTTTGTTGTTATTCTGTCTCTCACTGTTCAAATAAACCTACCATTAAAATGATAGACTGATCATTTCTTGGTCAGTGGGCAAACGTACAAAATCAGCAGGGGATCAAATACTTTTTCCCCTCACTGTATGGTTGCATATTAGTGCATACTGTGTTCCCAAAAACAAACTGGGTGAAACACTCACTCTCTTATCACAGATATCTAATGTTGCCAAAACCACAACAGTCTGAACCTTTGGTGCTGATACGGTGTGTTTATGTTGCTCTTTTCCCCTCTGGTGTCTGGAATGTGTGCAAATGGAGACAGGCTCTGTTTTAACTCATGGTGGGCTTGAAGGGTTTAACCAAGGCCATACTCTCTCACCTTGTATCCAGACGTGAACGTCCTGACTGCGTGGACCGATGTCATTGGACACCTCACACCTGTACAGTCCAGAGTCATTTCTCTCCAGAGGACGAGTGAAACTAAAAGTGTTGTTCACTATATCCACACCGTCAGGCATCGGCCCATCCAACCTGTTAAGAAAGGAGATCATATATAAACACAGGGATACAAACATCTGGATATTACTAGCCAGCAATAATCACAGTAGTGGTACGTCCGAAATGGCACCCTATTCTCATTATAGTGCACTACTTTTGTCCAGAGCCCTATGGGCTCTGGTCAAAAGTAGCAAACTACATAGGGAATGGGGTGCTATTTGTGACGTGGCCAGTGTATAGCATGTTGTGGGGTGTAGTGAGTTGGAAAGCTGCTAGCTAGTGGACCCTGACCTGGTCCAGGAGAAATGGTGGGCAGGTGGGTTGGCTTTGGCTCCACAGTCCAGCTTCACATTGTCCTGACCAACAAACCAGTTCTGGTCATATCCCACCACCGTCACCTCAGGAGCAACTGGAAAAGAAGCACAATATCGATGAAAATAATGCTTTGATTCTTTATTCTACAATCCTATTATAATTACTTATTATTATTATTTGTTACTTAGCTACTTTGTAATAAAGTAGACTAGGGTACATACCATGTAGGCCTATTGTACAAGATACATTATGATCAGGATCCTTTAATAACACAACTGGCCAAGAATATTCGTTCTATACAAAACAAGAGATTGATTTAAAAAAAAGAAAATGCCCTAGAGTGCAATGTACATTGTACACAATGGCCAATGTGACCCCTAGCAATACAGTGATGACAAATTAGCTTTCCCCAAGCAATAGAAGAACAAAACAAGTGATAATCAAAATGAAAAAGCAGTGGCAAAGGATTCTACAGCACAGAGGTTTTGTTGGCTGTGTGAAGCCTAGAAAGCAAACAAAGCATGAGAGAGAGAGAGAGAGAGAGAGAGAGAGGCTACATCAGACAGGTCATAGCGAGGAGATGTAGGGGTAATAATCCACTCTCTCCAGCAGCTCACCACCAGACACAAACAGAACATAGAGAAGCCTACCAGAGGTATTACAGATACCACTGACTGTACTGTAATAACTGTAGTAAACAATGACTCTGGTATCCAATTTCCCCCTTTTGATTTCTCTGGAGAGTGAGCAGGCAAAACGTATTACAGTACACAGCCGGGCAGGGAACAAGATGTTATCAGTGCGTCATGTTGACCTTTGCACTTTGTTTGTGGGGAAATTGTGCTTCTTTGGCACTTAAAATCCCCAGCCTCTGCATTTGACATGATTTATTGAGTTCCAAAGTCTTTCTCTTCCTGTATTAACCTTGGCTTTCTGCATCTCCACCCTTCTGCCCCACCCCTCTTCCCCCTGCTGCAACTGCTGAGGCTTGATCAATATTTCATAAAACGCCTTCATTAACCTGCACTCACATAGTCCAAACAGATACTATCCACTATTCATCAGTTCAGCTTGCCAAGGAAGCATGCATCAATGATTATAAAATTAAGATGACTCTTTAATGGCCCTTTTAAGAGCAAAATAGGGAAGATGGGGAGTCGGTCCGGTCTCTGAGCATACTGCACTGTAAATCAGTCTATCAACATGATAGGTTATATATCAGATACAGACAGCAGCCCTTCACTGATACATGAGGCAGTTGTCTAAATCTTTATGTAGTCAGAGAGTGCATGCTGAAATAACATGAGCAGCAGCTGTCTCTGACAGACAACTGAGACAAGACAAATAATCTACCATAAAGTCCACCTATCAGCACAGCAACCCCCCACAAACAGAACATAAAGATAGCTAGCTACCTCTCTCCTTGTCATGGTGGCCCACAGCTCTATATACAGTGCATTCGGAAAGTATTTAGACCCCTTGACTTTTTCCACATTTTGTTACATTACAGCCTTATTCTAAAATGGATTTTAAAAAACAATCCTCATCAATCTACACACAATACCCCATAATGACAAAGCAAAAACAGGTTTTTAGACATTTTTGCAAATGTATTAAAAATACAAAATGGAAATATGACATTTACATAAGTATTCTGACCCTTTACTCAGTACTTTGCTGAAGCAACTTTGGCAGCAATTACAGCCTCGAGTCTTCTTGGGTATGACGCTACAAGCTTGGCACACCTGTATTTGGGGAGTTTCTCCCATTCTTCTCTGCAGATCCTCTCAAGCTCTGTTAGGTTGGATGGGTAGTGTCGCTGCACAGCTATTTTCAGGTCTCTCCAGAGATGTTCGATGGGGTTCAAGTCTGGGCTCTGGCTGGGCCACTCAAGGACATTCAGAGACTTGTTCCGAAGCCACTCCTGCGTTGTCTTGGCTGTGTGCTTAGGGTCGTTGTCCTGTTGGAAGGTGAACCTTCGCCCCAGTCTGAGGTCCTGAGTGCTCTGGAGCAGGTTTTCATCAAGGATCTCTCTGTACTTTACTCCGTTAACCTTTCCCTCGATCCGGACTAGTCTCCCAGTCCCTGCCGCTGAAAAACATCCCTACAGCATGATGCTGCCACCACCATCCTTCACATTAGGGATGGTCCCAAGTTTCCTCCAGAAATACTTAAATCCTGGTTTTACCAGACCAGATAATCTTGTTTCTCATGGTCAGAGTCCTTTAGGTGCCTTTTGGCAAACTCCAAGCGGGCTGTCATGTGCCTTTTACTGAGAAGTGGCTTCCGTCTGGCCACTCAACCATAAAGGCCTGATTGGTGGAGTGCTGTAGAGATGGTTGACCTTCTGGAAGGTTCTCCCATCTCCACAGAGGAACTCTGGAGCACTGTCAGAGTGACCATCGAGCTCTTGGTCACCTCCCTGACCAAGACCCTTCTTCCCCGATTGCTCAGTTTGGCCGGGCGGCCAGCTCTAGGAAGAGTTTGGTGGTTCCAAACTTATTCCATTTAAGAATGATGGAGGCCACTGTCTTTTTGGGGACCTTCAATGCTGCAGACATTTTTGGTACCCTTCCCCAGATCTGTGCCTCGACACAATCCTGTCTCGGAGCTCTACGGACAATTCCTTCAACCTCATGGCTTGGTTTTTGCTCTGACATGCACTGTCAACAGTGGGACCTTATATAGACAGGTGTATGCCTTTCCAAATCATGTCCAATCAATAGAATGTACCACAGGTGGACTCCAATCAAAGGTTGGAGAAACATCTCAAGGATGATCAATGGAAACAGCTCAATTTCGAGTCTCATAGCAAAGGGTCTGAGAATACTTATGTAAATAATCTGTTTTTAATTTTTAATACATTTGCTAACATTTCTAAAAACCTGTTTTCGCTTTGTCATTATGGGGTATTGTGTGTAGATTGATGAGGGAACATTTCTATTTAATCCATTTTAGAATAAGGCTGTAACATAACAAAATGTGGAAAAAGTCAAGGGGTCTAAATACTTTACGAAGGCACTGTAGTAATCACGTAAAAGGTGATCTAGTTGTTCTATTTCAATGACCCTACTGCTCTGCTGTCTTGTCCGCCTGGTCCCCCCCCAACACTCACACTGCACATTGAGCACGTAGGGTATCCTGAACTCAGTCTGCAGGGCCGGGTGGCGCACCACGCAGGTGAGGGTGTGGCCCTGGGAGTGTCTCCGTGGCTCCAACACATAGCGCACCTGGGTGGTGGAGGCGACATGTTGTTAGACGTGTAAATATTTAAGCATGTTTAAAGAGTGTTAGTCTAACTGGCCTTAGTCAAATGTAGTGCACTATATAGGGAATAGGTTGCCGTTTGAAACACAGTACTGTGATACTGTGGTGTGATGTCAAAGCAGTAGCTCTGTTCTGTTTGTACCTGCGTGGTGGAGGTTCCGTTGGGCTCGTCCTGCGTCTGGACCTCAGAGCGGCCAAACAGCTCAGTCTCCCAGGACACCTCGGCTGCAGGCCGGCCGCGCTCCGCTATGCAGGTGGCCGCCACCGATTCATTACCACCATCCACCAGGGCCGTAGAGCCGGCAGAGACGTAGACCTTGGGCTCCACTAGGGGAGAGAGAGATAAGATTATACAACTAGAATGTTCCCAATGAGGCAATTCATTTAGCAACATAGAAAATATACTGTACATACAGACAAAAAACATTGAGAGAGAGAGATGGAGTGGGAGAGAGAGAGATGGAGTGGGAGAGAGAGGAAAAGGGGGAGACAGAGAGACAGAAGGAGAGAAGGAAAACGAGCAAGAGAGAAAAGGGGCAGAGAGATGACAAAACAGAATGGAGAATAGATTACAAAATGAGTATTGATATTTTGTATATGAAGATGAATAAATAATTTGCATCATAAAACAGGGACGGGGATATGGACAGACAGGAGGAAGTGGCCACGGTACATTCATACACTCTGCTGCCAGACACAGTATATTGATTTCCTGCATTTCACAGATATCTATTTAAAATTGATGAGCCAAGCAATCTGATACTATATGAGCACTTTGAAGGGAACTCAACTCTTTTTATTGTTATTGTGCTGGAGATGGAGATGTCTGTGAGAGATGTTTGTGAAAGGAACATTGACTTTTGGAGCATCTCCATAAAGCTGTTTGAATTATATTATCTTCCTCCTAAACCTAAACAATGGATTTTGTGTTGTAAATGCTGTACTTTCAAACTGCTCCTACTACTCATGGCCTGCTAATATGGTTCATAATGACTTAGAAAAACAGTTTAACACAGAGCAATGTCAGACATAATACTCAGTGCTGTTGTGTGTGTCCTATATTTGGCAAAATCTAGTTGATGATTATACAGATAGCAGATGCTGGCACTAAGACCGCACTCAATTAACTGTATACGGCCATAAGCAAACAGGAAAACGCTCATCCAGAGGCGGCGCTCCTAGTGGCCAGGGACTTAAATCAGTTTTACCTAATTCCTACCAGCATGTTAAATGTGCAACCAGAGGGGAAAAAACTCTAGACTACCTTTACTCCACACACAGAGACGTGTACAAAGCTCTCCCTCGCCCTCCATTTGGCAAATCTGACCATAATTATATTCTCCTGATTCCTGCTTACAAGCTAAAACTAAAGAAGGAAGAACCAGTGATTCGGTTAATAAAAAAGTGGTCAGATGAAGCAGATGCTAAGCTTTATTTTTTATTTTTGCTACCGCATTGCAAGCGGTACTGGAGCGCCAAGTTTGCATTGCCCCCCCAAATAAATTTGATTTGAGTTTCATTGTGTGTTGTCCTGAGCTGGGGAGTTGGGTTGCTGTTAATGTGTGCTGCTATTCAGTGCTTTAGAGCTAGTGTTATGTTACACTGGCTTCCTGTGAGGACTCGGCGTTACTGTGGGTTGAGACATCAGTCGTGACACAGATTTCTCTCAATAGAGCAGCATAAACAGATCCATGTGAACGGAAAGTGACCGCTGTAACATAGCACTACTTTCACTGTTCTAGACATCATACTTAAGATACAGTTGAAGTCGGAAGTTAACATACACCTTAGCCAAATACATTTAAACTCAGTTTTTTACAATTCCTGACATTTAATCCTAGTAAAAATTCCCTGTTTTAGGTGAGTTAGGATCACCACTTTATTTTAAGAATGTGAAATGTCAGAATAATAGTAGAGAGAATGATTTATTTCAGCTTTTATTTATTTCATCACATTCCCAGTGGGTCAGAAGTTTACATACACTCAATTAGTATTTGGTAGCATTGACTTTAAATTGTTTAACTTGGGTCAAACGTTTCGGGTAGTCTTCCACAAGCTTCCCACAATAAATTGGGTGAATTTTGGCCCATTCCTCCTGACAGAGCTGGTGTAACGGAGTCAGGTTTGTAGGACTCCTTGCTCGCACACGCTTTTTCAGTTCTGCCCACAAATTTTCTATAGGATTGAGGTCAGGGCTTTGTGTGCAATACCTTGACTTTGTTGTCCTTAAGCCATTTTGCCACAACTTTGGAAGTATGCTTGGGGTCATTGTCCATTTGGAAGACCCATTTGCGATCAAGCTTTAACTTCCTGACTGATGTCTTGAGATGTTGCTTCAATATATCCACATAATTTTCCTTCCTCGTGATGCCATCTATTTTGTGAAGTGCACCAGTCCCTCCTGCAGTAAAGCACCCCCACAGCATGATGCTGCCACCCCCGTGCTTCACGGTTGGGATGGTGTTCTTCGGCTTGCAAGCACCACCTTTTTCCTCCAAACATAACGATGGTCATTATGGCCAAACAGTTCTATTTTTGTTTCATCAGACCAGAGGACATTTCTCCAAAAAGTAAGATCTTTGTCCCCATGTGCAGTTGCAAACCATAGTCTGGCTTTTTTATGGCGGTTTTGGAGCAGTGGCTTCTTCCTTGCTGAGCGGCCTTTCAGGTTATGTCGATATAGGACTCGTTTTACTGTGGATATAGATACTTTTGTACCCGTTTCCTCCAGCATCTTCACAAGGTCCTTTGTTGTTGTTCTGGGATTGATTTGCACTTTTCGCAACAAAGTACGTTCATCTCTAGGAGACAGAACGCGTCTCCTTCCTGAGCGGTATGACGGCTGCGTGGTCCCATGGTGTTTATACTTGCGTACTATTGTTTGTACAGATGAATGTGGTACCTTCAGGCATTTGGAAATTGCTCCCAAGGATGAACCAGACTTGTGGAGGTCTACAATTTATTTTCTGAGGTCTTGGCTGATTTCATTTGATTTTCCCATTATCTCAAGCAAAGAGGCACTGAGTTTGAAGGTAGGCCTTGAAATACATCCACAGGTACACCTCCAATTGACTCAAATGATGTCAATTAGCCTATCAGAAGCTTCTTAACCCATGACATAATTTTCTGGAATTTTCCAAGCTGTTTAAAGGCACAGTCAACTTAGTGTATGTAAACTTCTGACCCACTGGAATTGTGATACAGTGAATTATAAGTGAAATAATATGTCTGTAAACAATTGTTGGAAAAATTACTTGTGTCATTCACAAAGTAGATGACCTAACCGACTTGCCAAAACTATAGTTTGTTAACAAGACATTTGTGGAGTGGTTGAAAAATGAGTTTTAATGGCTCCAACCTAAGTGTATGTAAACTTCAGACTTCAACTGTATGTTGACTTTGTGTGAAATAAATATGCTAGACTAAAGGCTTTCATGCGTCAACCTGTTTGGATAATGTGCTATTACATTTTCTGCTAAACTGATGCTGCGCATGTTGTGTATTTTGTGGAAATGCATTAGCGCAATTCCACAGGTTCAGGAGAGGAAGGCGAGGGAGAGGGAGAGAGGCTGGAAAGCACTACTCCACTTCACAAATTGGCTCTAGTGGTTAAATCTATGATTCAGGGAGCAGTCAGGCTGCCTTTCTTTTCCATCATTACTCATCTGAATCTCTTGCCTGGCTACCCAGACTCCTTGCTCCGGCCAAACGCTACGCCACGCCCGCAGACGTTAGTTTCTAATCCGCAAGGAGTCTGGATCTGAGTACCTCCCCGACCCTTCACCGAATGCGAACACATTTGGGCCAGTCTGATTGGTCCAGAAACCGATGGGTTTGGCCAGAGCCAGAACACACGTGGGTAAAGCAGTGGTTAGAAAATGTGCCATTGGCTTTGATACTCCGATTGGTTAGAGACAACTTATTTTGTACAACGCCCCTCCTGCCCCTTGTCACCACAAACAACTTCAATGATGGTAGTCTCAGACTAAAGTTTGTAGTGAATGACAGAGCAGCAGAATAATTTAGTGCGAGTTGTCAGGCTACTGAACGTCCCCCACCCTGCTCTCTCTCTTTGCCATGTCCATTTCTCCTTCCCCCTCTCTCTCCGTCCGTGGTATCCTTCTCTGCCTCCTCTCCTCGCAGAGGGCATGGCACTAACAGCTGCTGGACTTCGTTTCACAGTGACAGTGTGGCATGTGAGGCACACACACAGATCCTCCAGACAAGGCCATCGCCCCAAGACATCTGCCGTATCCCTCCTCACAGTGGAACGACACCCTAGAGACTCCCTCTTCTAAAAATATACCCGTGTCTCCTACGCCCGTGCTTCGGGCAGCCGTCTCAGTCAACTTGCTCACATTGTGCCCCCACACCCTCATCTAATCAACACTTCCCCCCTCCCCACCTCACTGACTGAGCGCACACAGTAGCTCTGTTGTGTTAAGGGGGCATCCTGGCACCACATAGCCCACTTCCCTCCAGTGTAACCAAATCAGGGGGACGTGCTAATTTGAAGAGGCTGTCGGGGAAGGAGGTGGGTCAGATCTATCCCGTTGAGTGCAGAGGGTAATGATTTCCCATCAGACAAGCAGAGAGCAGGCAGTGGGAGCTGTGTTGGCCCCGTCCCACCCACACACTGCCCGGCTCCGCTAGGCTCTGATGAGCACCTCGGGCTGGGCTGTATAACTTATTTTACGATATACTGGAATTAATGCATGGACAAGTTTGGGTTTTAATTTTACCTTCTATAACAGTATTTGAATGTGATACACAGTGTGTAATATCCATTTTTATAGTTTACTTCGCTACTCGAGTCATCTCTCTCTGCTCTCTCGCTCCATGCCGCTTTCCACACAGACCTAGCCCCGCCCCGTCACTCAAGGAGCGCATTTGTTGATCCTCGAACACGAGACAGACGCTTGTGTTCAGTCTGCATGGTCAATGCAGCACATGCAACAAAGTTCATGAAAACTATGCTGTTTTCACTTTGCTTCTTAATAAAAATCTATAATTACACTATTAGTTTGTGTTTCTTACATCTGCAAACAGCTAGATTGTCTGTTCTTAGCAAGTTGGGCCGAAATCTTGTTAGCCACTAATGCTAATAGCTAGTTAGTGGTCTAGCTAGCTAATAAATGTAATGAGTCAGAGCAAACATAAGTAGTGATACAGCCTGATAATACCAGTGATGGTGTAGACCTAAATCAGCATGTTGTTTGTGCAACAGTATCTTCTAAATCAAAGAGGAATACGCGAAGCATGAATATCTTAGCTACATGAAGTAGCTGTAACCAAATCAGGGGGAAGTGTAATTTTTTTGTGTGCATTAGATGGTGTTTACCACCCACTTTGGGCTGCATGGAGTAGCTAAGAGAAAACATTCAATGTAGCCAGAGATTATAGGGTCCCCTAGGAAACACTTATCAACACTTTGGTTCCTACCCTGTCACAATAACTCCTCCCTGGCATTTTCATTCGGTGTCATGTCAAACAACACTGTATTCAAAGTGCCCACTATTATATTATAACTATAGAATTAGAATAATCATTCAATTTTCATGATTCCAACAGTTCACCGAATTGTTTTGCTCTAAATCGCAAGTCAAATCACAATTGCAACATTTGGTTAAAAATAAGGCCTAGATTGTTTGCCCATACCGTGCAGCACTACATGGAAGTGTTGAAATGATCTCAAATGAGTGCAGGAAATGCAGAAATTGATGAAAATGCTGAAAATTATTTTTGGTTGAATTGAACAGTGTAAAACAAATCAGAATGGAGAAAGACCCATTGAAATCACTTAGAATATATGTGCTGTCACCCTAGGGTCACGCACTACTCAAAGCAAATGTAGAACTTTTATTATTCAAAAACATAAAATACCGTCAAACTGTACTTTTTGTATTTTTTATACAGTGATATGATATTTTGGCCATTTCGCCCAGCCCTTTGAGCGCAGCTGACAAAGCCAGCCAACCAGGACTACAGTTGAACTGTAAGGCCAGTGGTCAAACCATGCAGTATCTCCACAGTTTTGACGTATCAATCAGTACACTTTAAAATAATTACAATTATCACCAATCACTGCATTTATGGGGCTCATTGGATGATCAAGTAAATCCTAGAGAATGGATATTTAGATTATCTAATGAAACAACTTCTAACAATAAAACATTCAAATTGAATTAGACCCACAACAAGTGAACAAGTCTTGCCATGGCACTGCACTGCTGCGAGGTTATGTTATGTTCTCTTTAGTTTTTATGACTCAGCTGAAAAGAGAAGATGTTATTGCTCCACATCAAATGCATGTCATGGACAGTAAAACATGCTATCAGTGAGCCATGCAGAGAGATCTGGGCCTGAGTAGATATAATAACTCAGAAAGTGAAAGTGGAACTGGGCCAGACTGTGGAGTTTGCCGCAATGTCAGGCCTAGTAGCATCAGTTGACATCTTCATTAATGCAGCTTTTTTAAGTGTTGTCTTGTTTTCTCTTAGAAGTCTTAGCAGAAACTCTGTTTCTTAGAAAACTGCAGAAGGTTTCTCACTTCCTTGTCAGCAATAACAATACCAAACAAAAGGTCATTCTAATTCTCAGAGTTTTGGTGGTGGTGTATTATTCCTTTGCTATTGTTTACAGGTGGGGGCTCACGTAGCAAAGATCCTCTTACCATTAAAATGTAACCCTGTGCCTTTTGTAAGGTTAGGAGGAAGGGGGTGGGGGTGAGAGAGAGAGAGAGAGAGAGACAGAGACAGAGAGAGACAGAGAGAGAGACAGAGAGAGAGACAGAGAGAGAGACAGAGACAGAGACAGAGACAGAGAGAGAGAGAGAGAGAGAGAGAGAGAGAGAGAGAGAGAGAGAGAGAGAGAGAGAGAGAGAGAGAGAGAGAGAGAGAGAGAGAGAGAGGGGGGGGATTTCATTACCTGAATGTACACTGTACTCTTCTTATAACATTCATATCTGTCCCAGACTATTACATTCTTACAACAGTTGTTGAAAGGGAAGCACTTTTTTTTTCTGCTATGAGCTTTTGGTTTTTATATCAGTGATTATTCTCAGAAGCGGAGTGTACCCACTCACAGTGTTAAGAAATAAAACATCCCTAATAAACAACAACACAGAGTAAAGGAAGGCGGGTGGAAGCCCAGGCTGCATCCCAAATGACACTATTCCCCATGGTCCCTGGTCAAAAGGAGATGCAGGCTAATGGAAGGCTGTGGAGGCCCAGACACTGAGTCGAGGCAGGCAGCCTCCTGTCACAGCAGCACTTAATGTAGCCCTCATTAGTCATCAGAGCCAGCCTGAGGCTGAGTCTCAAATGGCAACCTATTCCCTATATTGTACACTACTTTCACCAGTCAAAAGTAGTGCACTACATAGGGCATAGGGTGCTATTTGGGACTAAGCCTCAGGAGAGAAACACATGAAGCCTGGCTGGCTGCAGCTTTCATCACCGTCCACAATCCAATCAACCATTATAGGGGTGGAAACACATGCTGACCGCACAACAATCCTTAAACTTTACTTTCCACTCTCAGTAAGGTGCTACTTTATAATGTGTCCATACGAGTTGGAACCTTTACGTGTGGATTTGTTTATATTAAGTTAGTAAATCTATGTGGCATTTGGCTCCTACAGCAATAAGGCTAGCTGTATGAATATTTATCAAGGACAAGTCTGAATTGCCCTCCTTTATTCATGGGGACAGTGAGAACACTTTCTGAGAAAGGACATTCAGGTAAAATGGAGCTGGTGCTGTACGCTTCTACAGTACAAAAAGTAACGGTTTCCTCATGCTGGACGCAGAGTGACTGTGTCCCAAATGGCACCCTATTTCCTCTATAGTGCACTACTTTTGACCAGAGCCCTATGCGGGCCCTGGTCAAAAGTAGTGCACTATAGAGGGAATTAGGTAACTTGACCAAGGCCGACGCAGTCTAAGAGTTCCATGTACCTAGTATATTGACAGTGGTGGATGCCTGCGTGTTGCCCAGCGGGAAAGTCGCCACTTTACATGTGTAAGACCCGATGTCCTGAAAACCCACGCCTTCTAGGACGACGGTGGCATCGTGCACGGAGGGGTTCAGGAAGGACAGGCGCCTGGCATAGTCTGGGGAGATGGAGATGCCAAACTGGGGGTTGAAGACGGCCAGGGTGATGGTGCCTGGTGCCGACCTCCACCCTGCAGCCCAGTGTAATGTTCTTCCCCAGCACAGCACTCACCCTCTCTGGGACCAGCACCTCATTACTGCTCACACCTATAGACAGGGGGAAGGGGAGGGACACAGTCAGTTAGATATAGACACAGTTACAGGAGAGATCCATGTTGAGAACAGTCGTAAAAAGAAAGACTGTAATCAGGACTGAACCTCAGTCAAAAAGGAGAACAACATGGGCTTCTTTTCAACATGTATTCAACTTTTTTTATTCCTCTTTCATGCTTTTATTCAGAAACGACAGCCCCTTCCAAACCATAGAAACCAAACCGCCTTGATGAGGTAGGCCTACATTATGAAACATACTGTATCACGTCACTTCCCTCTCACGTTACTCTTCCCATGGGAATGGGCTGACCGGACTTCTTTCTTGAACAACTAGTCATGCTGTATGTTTGTGATATTAAGATGGTATTTCAACTGTGTAGTAAGGGCTGGGCTTTTAGCTTTATGATGGGGTTTAGCAGGGAGATGTGTCTGGGTCTGGAACCCCTCAGTGTGTGTTCACTCCTAATGAGCAACACACAGCAACAGACATTCAGCCTCCCTCCTGTTCACCACAGGACGTCCTCACTGTCACTGCTGCTAATTGTTAGAGTACCTTGCCATATAAAGTAAAAGCATTATAAAAGAAAAAAACCTTTCTGGAAGGAGATTAAACAGAAAAAGCTTTTTGATGTTTTTTTCCTGTTTTTAAAAGCCCCTTTCATGTCTATGCATGTTGGGAGCTATTTTCAGTAAAATGTGGGTTTTTCATAGGGGCTGGCTGGCTAGTTCGGATGCTGTGATTGAGAAAAGGTGCAGAAAGCCAATGGAGGAGAGAGGATGAGCAGTGAGCACATGATTATGGCACAATGCTGTCGGGGAATCAGCCGCTTCCATGGACGGAAATGAGGCAATGAAGCCTAACATGATTCAACAGTATTGTGTCCCTCTACTCCCCCCCCCCTCCCTAGGGGGTGTCTAGGGGGTGTACTTATACATCAAGCTGCCTCACGCTACAGAAACAGGATACCGGTAGGCGCCTCCTGCCCTATGGGCTATTCTGACTCGGACGAGGCTTATACAGTAGACCTACTTCCTATTAGATAGGCCTAACACCTCGTGCTGGATGTTTGCAATAACTAGCTAGACTAACCATTTAAGAAATGTAGCAATACATGCCTACCGTAACATTTAAAAACACCACAGGCAGCAAACTCTGAATGATTCACTAGCCTACAACTTGAGGGAAATGAATTTGAACTTAAAATAAATCTTAAAATTACAGGTTAGTCCTATGTCTAGAGTCATGGGCAAAATATATTCCAACAAAGAAAGACCAGAGTCAAATGTCTCTAAACATAATAACACCAATGAGTCATTGATACCCACATACTGTATATATTTAAACATTAAGTTCATACGTCTAGATTTAATTGGTGAGGGCACCCCTCATTGTAAATCTTGCACTAGCCTTCATGTTTTTACATGAACTGAATGCCATTCAAAACATTCAGTGTAAGGTCTGACTTTTCTTAACGCAATTTAAAAGTTATATTTGGGAGATCTAAATTTCCACCTACCAATGTGTGTTGAGTAAGCTAATAAACGTGGCCTACTGGCTGGTGCTTTAGGGTCCTTGGCATGAATATGAGTGGTAAACCACAGCTACGCTATCCTGGCTAAGAGGGAATATAGGCTATCCCTGCTCCCTAGCCTCCCCTGTAATTTCAGGGATCAAGTGCACACACACACACACACACACACACTAGGGCTGTCCCAGACTAAAACAAATCTTGGTCGACCAAAATTCGTCTGTTCTTTCGACCAATCGATTGGTCTAAATTTTTTAAAACGTGTATTTTCCCAAAAATAGACACATCCTATGTGTTTTAATCAAATCATTGAAATGCACTGAGCTTGTCTGATGCTTTAAGCAAACAGTTTGATGAAAAAATTAAGACACACAAATTACTAGAGGGAGTTGGACCGCAATTGATTTGATTGTGCCGGGCCCGGCTCAGACTTGCTGTGCTGTGTTAAAGAAAAAGACAGCGAGTGACTGTGACTAGCACCCTTTGGCGCTCTCTCCTCCCTTCTGCAGCGACCACGACAGAACATTTACATTTACATTTTAGTCATTTAGCAGACGCTCTTATCCAGAGCGACTTACAGTTAGTGAATACATATTTTTTTTTATATATACTGGCCCCCCGTGGGAATCGAACCCACAACCCTGGCGTTGCAAACGCCATGCTCTATCAACTGAGCTACATCCCTGCCGGCCATTCCCTCCCCTACCCTGGACGACGCTGGGCCAATTGTGCGCCGCCCATGAGTCTCCCGGTCGCGGCCGGCTGCGACAGAGCCTGGATTCGAACCAGGATCTCTAGTGGCACAGTTAGCACTGCGATGCAGTGCCTTAGACCACTGCGCCACTCAGGATTGTGTATTGCGCTGTCTGTGTTGCTGAAGCTGCAACATACAGTACATTCAGAAAGTAGTCAGACCCCTTGACTTTTTCCACATTTTGCTAATTTACAGCCTTATTCTAAAATGGATCGCAAAAATGTTTTGCTCATCAGTCTACACACAATACCCCATACTGACAAAGCAAAAACAGAAATATCAGATTTACATAAGTATTCAGACCCTTTACTCAGTACTTTGTTGAAGCACCGTTGGCAGTGATTACGCTACAAGCTTGGTTTCTCCCATTCTTCTCTGCAGATCCTCTCAAGCTCTGTCAGGTTGGATGGGGAGCGTCGCTACAGATCTAGACAAGTCTCTACAGATATGTTTGATCAGGTTCAAGTCTGGGCTCTGGCTGGTCCACTCAAGGACATTCAGAGACTTGTCCCGAAGCCACTCCTGCGTTGTCTTGGCTGTGTGCTTACGGTCGTTGTCCTGTTGGAAGGTGAACCTTCACCCTAGTCTGAGGTTCTGAGCGCTCTGGAGCAGGTTTTCATCAAGGATCTCTCTGTACTTTACTCCGTTCATCTTTGCCTCGACGTGGACTCCAATCAAGTTGTAGAAACATCTCAAGGATGATCAATGGAAACAGGATGCACCTGAGCTCAATTTTCAAGTCTCATAGCAAAGGGTCTGAATACTTATGTAAATAAGGTATTTCTGTTTTTTATTTTTAATACATTTGCAAACATTTCTAAAAACCTTTTTTCGCTTTGTCATTACGGGATATTGTGTGTAGATTGATGAGGATTTCTTTTTATTTAATCAATTTTAGAATAAGGCTTTAGCGTAACAAAATGTGGAAAAAGGGGTCTGAATACTTTCCGAATGCACTGTATAGCATATCATAATCACATCACTAAATTGATTATAACAAACAAACAGGTCGCTGGTTCTAATCCCCGAGCTGACTAGGTGAAAAATCTGTCGATGTGCCCTTGAGCAAGGCACTTAACCCTAATTGCTCCTGTAAGTCGCTCTGGATAAGAGCGTCTGCTAAATGACAAAAAATAAAAAATTCTGAACACAGCAACACATGTGACAGCAATATGGATGCAGAGGACGTGACAAATAAACTCGAAATGGGGGAAGGTTTACTGTTTGCTCAGGAGGTAAAGGGGAAGTCAGATGTGTGGAATACGTTTGACTAGTTGTGGAAAATACTGGAGATCAAGATAAAGAAGGCAAGGAGCAAGAGTTGCGTGCATATTATGTGTGCCAAACAGGTGCTGTGAGATTACAATATAATTTCTCTGACCATTTGGAACAATGTAAACAACACTAAATAAATTATAAGCGTACCAGAGAGTCTGTTGTAAGGTTTTTTTGTACAGCCTTTATTACAGCAAACACTAAAAACAGTCGCATTCATTTATGAATGACATTTCTTAATTTAACGTTTTTGGCCTATTTTTTGTTTATGCTAATTATTCAATGGTCACTTTATTCATTTTAAAACTAAAATGCTTGATTGCATTTCAAATCATGAATGACTCTTATGTTATGTGAAGACATTGAACTAATAAATGGTTGATTGATACAGTAGCCTATATTAGTATTGAAAATATAGGCCTAAGTAAGTTACGTATTAAGACTTAAAAGGATGCGCTCTTAGGCCTAGAGCTCAATGGTGGTTATACAAGGCTGCTATACTAAGCCTACTAATGATAATGACATCATTATAATGATGATCATAATAATAATAATAACAATAAGGAGATCAAGGGAAAAGGAGGGTTATTATTATTATAAATATAATTTTTCTGACAATTTGGAAAAGTGTAAACACTAAATTAATTATAAATAATACCAGAGAAGCTGGTCTAACAAAAAGAAAAGTGTAAAGTCTTTATTACAGCATAACAAAGATTAAAAACTTGGCGCTCACAGAATCAGTAGGGTATTAAACAAACACTCAAACAGGCAACAGAAGCAGGATCTGTCTTATTTCTGTAGATATACACTACCAGTCAAAAGTTTGGACACAGCTACTCATTCAAGGGTTTTTCTTTATTTTTACTATTTTTTACATTCTAGAATAATAGTGAAGACATCAAAACTATGAAATAACACATTTGGAATCATGTAGTAACCAAAAAAGTGTTAAACAAATCAAAATATATTTTATATTTGAGATTCTTTAAATAGCCACCTTTTGCCTTGATGACAGCTTTGCACACTCTTGGCATTCTCTCAACCAGCTTCACCTGGAATGCTTTTCCAACAGTCTTGAAGGAGTTCCCACATATGCTTAGCACTTGTTGGCTGCTTTTCCTTCACTCTGCCTTCCGACTCATCCCAAACCATCTCAATTGGGTTGAGGTCGGGGGATTGTGGAGGCCAGGTCATCTGATGCAGCACTCCATCACTCTCCTTCTTGGTAAAATAGCCCTTACACAGCCTGGAGGTGTGTTGGGTCATTGTCTTGTTGAAAAACAAATGATAGTCCTACTAATCCCAAACCAGATGGGATGGCGTATCGCTGCAGAATTAGTATATTTTAGTTTAACCACAATATTTGTTGCATTGAGTGCAGTCTTAGTGCCAGCATCGGTTTGTGGTGGTAAATAGACAGCTATGAAAAAT